GGAAGAATCGACTATAGCATCAGTTTTCTTTTGGAGTTTAGCAAGTTTTTTCATAGCCTAATATGTTCAAAGCAACAAACGGTTACCAAATAATACAAATTATTATCAATTAAAAAACGAAAAACAAAAAACATATATACCCTTATCTTTTTTCGAGCTTTAGCTTCTGCAACTTTTTTAATTGGCCGGGCATTCAAAGCTTTCATCCGCTCTCTGATTGCCTGCACAGCCTCTTTAGTCACTGGCACATTCAATTTGTTGTGTTGCTTTTCGTCATCTAGAAACCATTCAGGTAATCCTTCCCTATCATTATACGTGTATCGACGGAAGCCTTCATCTATGAGATCATGTTTTGTTTTTTGCCGATTTACAAGCTGTTGCGCTAAGGTTATCGCTTCTGCAGTGGTCAGTCCAATTTCTAAAAAAGAAATATTAGAAACTGTACGATCTGTTTATTTATATGGGTTGCCATACCTTTTGCTCTCTTCGTCCTTGTTTCATAATCGTCAATTTCATTGGCATCCCACATTTCTTCATCGTTACCTTTGTCTTGAGGAACTATTTCTATATCATCATCTGTGTTGTCTCCAATCTACAATAAAGAATTGATACAATCTTAGACAAACTATGAATGCGCGGTTGTAACCATCTTATACTCCATGATTACTAACATCATCAGCTTTACTCTTTAAAGAATGACCATTGAGTTCAGCTATGTCATCTTTGACATCAGAAACGTCACTATTTGTTTCATCTTCTAAATTCAGATCAGAACCATCTTTCGAGTTAAGATCAGAATCATCATTACTTTTATCGAATTTTTCATCATATTCATCGTTTTTTATGAAATCTTCTTCATCGGATTGATTTGTCTTATGGTTTTCATTATCATAGTTTTCCAATACATCTTTAAATAACGGATTATCAAAGAAAAGCATAGTCTTCTTACTCAAACAGCCAACCGTTTGAACTTTACTATCGTCGTCACTTAAATCTGTTAATAATTTTTTCTTTTTTTTAGCTGGTTCACTTTTCAGTTCATTAAATGACTCATTTTCTAATTCGGAATCATTATCACTAGATGATGAATAACTGTCATCTTGTGAATGCACAGACTCCATGGTTATATCATCATTGTCATCACTGCTTTCAGACTTTTGAATATCATTCCAATCTTCATATTCCTCTCGTGTTTTCTTCACTTTATATTTTGCGTCACGTTCTGCTTTGCGCTCTACATATTGTTCATAGCTGAAATCATATATAAATTTTATGTTAGGCTTGTTTGTTTGAATGGTTTGCAAAAAAAAAAAAAAAAAAAGAGTATATAGGGCATTTCTTACAGCTCATCTAATTCCTTTTCCAATTGAATGTCATCACTAGCCTCATTATAGTTTTCCGAATCTTCATACTGGTCTTTTAACAAATTTTGATCTTCAATCACAATGTCATCATTATCATTGTCTTGATCAAGAACAATGTCCATATTCCCTTTGCGTATTTTCCTTAACACCTATTTACATATTATTAGTTATTAATTTAGAACTAATCATTAAAACAACACCATAATTAAATAAATAGACAATTACCCCTGTTTTATCAACTTGTTTTAAATCGAATAATGGGTCACCACCATCAGGCCCTGAACTCTCTAATGCGATATCAGTGGGGGAAATCATCTTTAGTTGCATTCGAACAATATTTTTCTGTCGCTTTTCATTGGCTTTTCGACGAAGTCGTTTTTGTCGAGCTTGCTTTTCTTTGGTGAGCTCATCAAGCTATATTGAATCAAATTTTAAAAAGGCTTTAGCATACGGTAAACGGAGACGTAGAAATTACAAATGAATTCATATAAAACCTCATCTTGGATTATCTGATCTTCATCAACTTCTTCATCAACTTTTTCATCATCTTTGGTCGAATTTTCTTCGATCGATGTATTCTGTTTCTTGAAGAAAAAAAAAAAAAACGAGTTATTAACAAATAAACACAGGTAGAAAATAAAATAATGTATACCTTTTCTTTAACCGTATTTCGCCACCTCAAAAGATTTTTAAATTCTTTTTTACCCAAAACTTTTAAGTCATCACAACATAATTTTATTTCTTCAGTTGTAGATTCATCGTTCAATAACCTAGGTAATAATTAATATAAAGAAAAGTTAAATAATTAATAAATTATAGTTATATTTAATCATAATTTATACAACTTACTCTTTTGCTTTCTCATCAAATTTTAATTTATTAACATCGCCAAGAATTCGAATCGGATCATCTGAGTTAATGAAGTCTAAAACCGAACACTCTTTATATAACGTATAATTCCCATCTTCGTAACCTTCTCTGTATCGTTTTCTTTTTCCTGGATTCAAAACATCAATGGATTTATTTGTAGGTCCGATCTCAACATCCTGGAAAACCGACCGAGGATCAAGAAATTTTGGATCAATTTTCTTTGGAGCAAGAAACTCGCGACAAACAACGAAAATTTCTGCAGAGACATTTCTAACATTATAGATAAAAATCGAGACTATTACCAAAAAGAATAGACAAGCATAAATATAACATAGCACAACGTACCTCGATGAAGCCGGTTTTGTAGCTTCTACTTTTTTAAATAGTTGGTTAAAAACCCAGATCAAATTGTTATAGTCCTTGGATCTAAAAACTTTAGTCACGAATGTGCCTGGGTAATCGAACAATAGTAGAAAACTAAGCATACATAAAGTAATTAATAGAAAAGGATATTACAATATTATATAACAGATAAGAACCTCCTTGATTCAAGAATTCTACAGCTAATTTCAACGCTTTCAATGTCAATTCAGATTGGGAGAAAGCATCTTGCAGCCAAGAAATACCCACATTTGGGGCACCATCATGAAGCACTCTTAAAAGCGAAAAATTATTACATTAAAAATATTAAATATAACAAACATAGTAAAGGATTATTTACACATCAGCTTTCCAAGTTTTTAGCTCATTTCGAATTGTAGAACGACATTTGTCAGTAGTGATATCTTCTTGGAAAGTTATAATACTTGGAATCGGTTTAATAGGTACGAGATCAATACCTTTTTTATCATATTTAAATGTGAATTAAAAATTTATAAAATTCAATAGATCATTTAGAATTGATTCAATTAAGAAATTCTCCAACCGATAATTAAACTTGATGCAGGCATATATTTTTTCGCAACTTGCAACCTTCGACAAAATTAAAAATTTAGTGAATGCACACAACCTTAAACCTTTCAAAATGAACTCACCAGCCCCCGGGAGCAGCACATAAATCTACCAAGCATCGTGACTTTTCTAAAAAACTGTATTTTTTGTTTAATTGAATAAGCTTAAAGGCAGAACGGGAACGATATCCTTGTTCTTTGGCTAAGTGGTAATACTTGTCCAAACGTCCTATTCAGAGAAAGTTATCAATTTAGTATTTTTATTATTTTATTGTTTTTTAATTTTATTTTTTACAACCTTTGGCGGTTTTTTTGTCTTTTTTACCCATTTTTTTTGATAAGTTGCTTAAACATCTAGTATTACTGTAGATCATATACTAATTTCCCTCAAATTTCTATTGGCCGATTGGTCGATGATATTTCTATCGCTGATTGGACAGTATTAGATCTCCGTATTACCCGTGATTACCCGTATTACCCGTGATTACCCGTTGTTACTCGTGATCAATGAACCACCAAGGCCCCAGAAAATTTTCATCTTTAGCTGCTCAAATGTGGAGTTATACTCGTGATAACTAATCAAATTACATAATACAAACTTCATATTTTTTAGAGGATAAGAAAGAATAAAACCTCTTACAATTTATATATAATCTTTAAATCAAAACTTTCTTTATAACCCTAAACACACTACAAAAACAAAAAAATCCAAGCATTAAACTCGAATCTTCTACTCAGGGTTGGCACATTTGTCTATTGACATCAACGGACTTTAGGTTTATTGACCAAACTAGTGCTTCTACGGGTCTGGTTTGATTTTCGAACCCGACTCAAATTTTTATATTCAAACTTTTTAGTCAAGTCTGAGTTTGGTTCGGGTTCCGGTCCGAAGTTTGCAAACTAGTTTGAGTTCGAATATATTTATGTGCATTTTTTGGAGCAAAACAAGTTTACTTAGTGCATGAAGTTAGAATTAATTAGTAAAATTTGAGAATCATAAGATTTTATAGAATTTTATTAATAAAATTCTATAAAATCTGATGATTCTCAAAATTTTATTACTTTATGCGCTAAGTAAACTTGTTCAGCACCTAAATATACATCCAATCGGCAGAATTGTTTTTATTTGACTTGAAATTTGGAAAAATGATGCTTAATTTCGTTAAAAAATTCAAATTTAAGTATCTTCAAATTTCAATATATTTTTAGGTGATAAACAAGTTTATTTAGTGCATGAAGTTAGATTTAATTAATAAAATTTTGAGAATCATAAGATTTTATAGAATTTATTAATAAAATTTTGAGAATCATAAGGTTTTACAATAAAATTCTATAAACTTTTATGGTTCTCAAAATTTTATACTAAGTAAACTTGTTTAGCACCAAAAAATGCATATAAATATATTCGGACTCAAACTAATTTGCAAACTTCGGACCAAACCGGACCTAACTTATAACTGAGTTTGAAGTTTGAAACTAGTAAAATTTAGAGGTTGATCCGGTTCGAACCCGGACCGGGCCGGACCCGAACCGGACCTAGGAGCACTAGACCAGACCCATTGATCTAGGGTGAGTGGCACGAAAGTCACAGGTATGCCACCATGGCATGCCAAAATTCAAAATAGCCAATAAGGCATGCCACTTATATAAAAAAGCTGATTTATATAATAACGTTCCAAGTAAAAGCCGAACCACAACTCGAATCACATGAAAACTGGCCAATCCAAATTGAGTATATCTTACAACATGCCAATGGCATGCCTATAGTATGGCATGGCGCGAAATTTGGCCAATGGCATACCAAAGTTTTTTAGCGTGCCATTTACCCTACATGATCCTATTGGAAGATAGATCCAATAGACAATTATTAATTATAAATTATTGCGGATGGTCGTGAAATTGGATGATGGTGAAATTTGGATTTTTTTTATGTACGATTTTAAAATTTTTTGGGGTCTTTTTTGTCGGTTTTTTTTGTTTTTTATGGTTAAGTTGGGATTTAGGGTTAGAGTTATTAATAAAAAGTATAGGCGGTAGGGAAAATGGCACGGCAAAAAAAATTTGGCATGCCAGACGGCATGCCATTGCTAAAATTCGTGCCAAGATGCCACCCTGGCATGCCATTATGCCACGTGATAGGTATACTCAATTTAGATTGGTCAGTTATCACGTACTATATAGACCCCTTTTCGGAATATTTCGGAACTTTGCTCTTGACCTTTCTCGTAATCTATGTATACTCGGAATATGCCGGATTAACATATAAATGGCATGCCCTATTGACAGTTTGAGTATTAGGCATGCCCATGGCATGCCTGTGACCTCCGTGCCACTTTCC